ACTGACCTGGCAAGTTTTAAATGGGACATGCAATAGCAGGTATGTTTGATTAGGCAAAAGCTATATATTTAAGACATTTCACACCTATATCCACATCCACATCCACATAAAGAGCTCCTCCCCCATACTTATATATATACACACATATACAGTGAAAGGGGTTTAAAAATTATCTAGAATAACATCTTAAAAAATAAAGTGAGAAGAACACAGCCAACAAAGAACTGAGATATGTAGCATCTGAACTGCAGTACAAAACCACCTCCAAATTAAATAAGTGCTGCTGAGATTTTAATTGACAATGCAACATTTTGCTGAACAGAATAAATTGTCAACAGCCCTGTTTTTCATTAAAAAGTCATCATAAGTACAATTTCCAGGAAAACAAAAAGGCATCTTACCTGGGTTTGCTTTCTAGAACTAGAGTTCAGAGAATGATCACAACTTAATGAATTTTCTTTGTATAGCAAAGAAATTTTATTGCTGCTCTTGTTCTGTCCTGCTTACATGGGTATTGATACCACAACATTTTGCTCATACACTGAAACCTTTGCTTTCTCTAAAGAGTACTTTGTCAGTATATGAAAAAACTCAGCCAGCACCAGAGAATCGGCTATGGTATAAGAAACAGCCAGTAGGAGAAAAAGTATCATAATCTTTTTCCATTTGTCCTTAAAATTAAAATTGTAAAGAACAGAACACAAAAGGTGATCCAAGCAATTCTTTGATTTGCCCAGACTGTATATTTGATACAGTCCTGTGGCTGTCTGCTGACCTACATTTTCCAGAGGGTTATAAGCTGTGCATTAAGATGGTGCGTATCCAAAGGCTGGAGCTTTAACGTTGTGGATTATTACTGAGTACAGGTGCAAGCTCAGGCTCCGGAGCTGTGGGCTTAACTGGTCATAGGAACAATTATTTGACTGATACTTTAACATCTATTTCCTTTGCTAAAGTCACAGAATATTATTGGCATGAGTCATAAGAATCACAGAATCACAGAATGGTTGAGGTTGGAAGGGACCTCTGGAGATCATCTAGTCCAACCCCCCTGTTCAAACGGGGTCACCTAGAGCACATAGCCCAGGACCAAGTCCAGATGCCTTTGGAATATCTCCAAGGATGGAGACTCCACTACCTCTCTGGGCAACCTGGTCCAGCGCTCAGTCACCCTCACAGTCAAGAAGTCTTTCCTCATGTTCAGATGGAACTGCCTGTGTTTCATTTGAGGTCCATTGCCTCTTGCACTAAAAAGAGTCTGGCCCCATCCTCTCTACACCCTCCCATCAAGCATTTATACACATTGATCAGATCCCCCCTCAGTCTTCTCTTCTCTAAGCTGAACAGCTCCAGCTCTCTCAGCCTTTCCTCCTATGAGAGATGCTCCAGTCCCTTAATTATTTTGGTAGGCCGCTGATGGACTTGCTCCACTGTGTCCATGTCTCTCTTGTACTGGGGAGCCCAGAACTGGGCACAGCACTCCAGGTGTGGCCTCCCCAGGGCTGAGCAGACCCGGGAGGATCACCTCCCTCCACCTGCTGGCAACACTCTGCCTCATGCAGACCAGGGGGCTGTTGGCCTTCTTTGCTGCGAGGGCACGCTGCTGGCTCATGGTCACCCTGTCGTCCACCAGGACCCCCACGTCCCCCAGCTTCTGCAGAGCTGCTTTCCAGCAGGTCGGCCCCGAGCCTGTACTGGTGCAGGGGGTTATTCCTCCCCAGGTGCAGGACTTTGCACTTCACTTTGTTGAACTTCATGAGGTTCCTGTCCTTCCATTTCTCTAGCCTGCTGAGGTGCCTCTAGATGGCAGCACAGCCCTCTGCTGTACCAGTCACGCCTCCCAGTTTTGCATAGTCTGCATACTTGCTGAGGGTGCGCTCTGTCCCATTGCCCGGGTCATTAATGAATAAGGTGAACAAGGACTGAACCTGGGGGACACTGCTACCTACAGTTCTCCAACTGCACTTTGAGCCACTGATCATAATCCTCTGAGCTTGGCTGTTTAGCCAGCTTTCAGTCCACCTCACTGCCTGCTTATTTGCACATGCCTAGGGGGACAGCATGAGAGACAGTGTTGGAAGTCTTACTGAAGAACTATCTAAATCATACATATATTGGGTTTGTATACTGCTACAGTCTGTACAGATAGGTAGGGATAAACTAGAAATCTTACACTTGTGGTCTTACACTTGTGCAGCTTCTCTGGGTTACAGTGAAAGTGCACTGATATATGTCTTAAAATTTAGAGATCCAGTTCACTACTGCAGTCTTTTGATCTTGTAGCTCCACTGATGATAATGGAGTATCACAACGTTAATCCAATGGTGTCTGGGGGCTCAAAGTCAGAGCAAAATTCTGTTGCTCAGGGTAATGAAAACAAGGGAAGAAAATGTCTGTTAAAATATTTCTAAGTTCCAAAGATCCCTTGGAAAGTTCCCCCTTTCAGGGGAAATATATAGCTTCACAATGATAGATATAAGTATCACTGTGTACCACTTTCAAACTGACATCCAGTTTTTCATTTTTACCATTTTGCAAAACATTATTGGAAACTGTTTTCAGGCAATTGTTGTATTTTTTTTTCTTTAAAAAACGAAACAAAACAAAAAATCTCTAAGTATCCCAGCCATTACAGAATTATTAAATTCAGAAGGAAGAATAGTGGCTATCACATGTTAAGAGCATTCTAACCTTTTTTTCTTTTTAATAGCTGATCCTCAAAAACATGATTTTTCAGGAGTGCAAACTTGTAACAGACATAAGAAATGACTCTTTTTCCCATCATCTCTCATCTATTTCCAATAGTAGAAAGCAACAAAAATTCTATTTCTGAATAGGAAGAGATGATAAATATGAAAGGTGTAAATGCCAGAGAAGTGCAACTGGAAATGCACTTTGTAAGTGTCTCACGCATATTTTTACATATAGATTGTATTGTAAAGCAAAGGTTTCAATAAAGGGCAGTGTTTAAACAACATAATCCAAGGGCCATGCATTCAGTAAAATAGTGCCAATTCTTTAAATTCTAAAGAGTTTTCTAGTTGTTTGCTAAATTAAACTACTTGCTATGATTTGAGTCAAATTGTTACTATGTTAATTACAGGGGTAAACTGGAGACATTTTTGGAGTCTTGGTAAATACAGTAGTTTTATGCAAGATGCTACAGAAAGTGCATACTTCTGTATCTCTTTAGGTGGAACATAATTTCCAGTAGGCCTTAATCTTAAAGGACACCTATCAGAGTCTGCTTCCCTCCCCTACTTTGCCCTACCAAAACAAAATCAGGATACTTTACACATTGGCCTCTGCTGTTGGTAAACCCAGCACTCACTGCTCTTGGGGAAGTAGAAAGAGGCAGCAAATACTTACTCCTGCATACTTATATCCAAAGCCTGAAACTGCTGCTTTAGAGATTCATGAAAAGTCCTCACCCTCTTATAAATATGTGTAGGTAAATAACTCATGTTTTCATGCAGTCCCTGAAGTACAACACAGTGGTGATACATGTATACAGATCCTAATAAAAATATGTTCAAAATCATCAAGTATTCACTCACATATCAAGAAGTACAAATGTTTAATAGAGTCATTCAAAAGTGTGGCTCGATATAAGTAGTTTGTACTGAAAGGAATGTGGCCATGGTCTCACACATGACATCGCAGTCCAGCATTCAATAATTTTATTTGAATCTTATACTGAAATGCAAAAAACGCACAATAGAACAGTCTTCATTTATTCCAGGAACCCGTCTCTGACTTTTGCTATAATGCACCATCATGATCTGAATGGAACTGATGCACTAATCTGGGAAAGGGCGGCGGCGGCTGTTACTTAAGGAATATTTTATACTGGAATTTGTCTTTCAATTTCTACCATTTTTTTAATATTGCTAGATCTCTTTTGGGACTAGAATACAAAGGCCATGCATATAGTTTGAACAAATAACATGACCAGAATTTTTTTCTTTCTAACTGTAAGCACAGCTAAACAATGGAAGAGGTTCTTTAGGAAGATTATGAAATATCCTGAAAGGCTTCCTGAAAGGTTTCAAAAAACAGACCAGAAAATATCTTTGAAGAACAGTTTAAACATCACTATATGTGTCTTAGATTCAATGATGAAATTAATGCTTCTCAGTCATTGCAAATGACTCTTTGGCTATAAGATGTCAGAAGGTATTCCATGGACCTAATACTAAAATCTAACTGTAAAATAAAATCAGAATGTCCAGACACACATACAAACACCTCCTTTCCCCATCACACATACATAAAAACCCAAGACGTGAGCAACAGATGAGCACTTAAAGTTTATGCTCATTTTCATCAGGTTGCAAAATGGAAACCATGGGGCAATACTCAATAAGATAGTGAGGTTTGTTTTGGTATTCTGGAAAGGCTGGACGGTTCTTTCATTTAAGAAATGTTCAAAAACACTTGGCCAGATGACTCTGAAGGCACTCTTCCCTCTAGGCCTATTTGCTATGATTGTCTGATTGTGCTTTTTTAGGCATACTTTGTTAGGAAGGACAAGAAGAGATACAGTATCACCCAGGAAGCACTGGAGGATGTAGTCTGGGTATTACACTCATAAGAGCAAGTAGAAATTCCACTTTTTAGGCCCGTTAAAATCTTAGTTTCTCCTTTAAGAAGGGCAATAAACTTGACTGTACCCATTGGGTGTAATTCACCTAGAAATGGACCAAAATGCCAGCATATTTTCATTAACCCACTTTTTAAAGACAGTCCTGAATGTATGAAGAAAAACCATGACGTATAAACACTAAAATAAAATGTACATAAAAAGGGAAGGGAATATGTGATTACTCATAGTTTGCAAATTTTTGTATATACCACCATGGCCCTGATATCAGCCGCTTCAGTGATGAAAGATCACAGTTTTCCCCTTCTGTCAAGAAACACATGGAAATTGATCCGTTCAGTGAAACATCCCAGAAAAAAAGAGATCCATTTCTTATAGATTAATAGCTTTGATTTACCTTCATTATCCCTTAGAGTAAAGTTGGGATTCAAAGAGAGCCCTTCATCAAGAGAAAAATGGAATCTTGCCCCATTTGCAGAGTTATCTTTGTCAGTTGCACTGATAGTCTGAATTACCTGAAATAAAGATTAAGAGTGAATGTGTTGAAATTTGAACTTGACCCAAGCATCACCTGACCTCAGCAGGATTTTCAAACTTAGCTTATTTTAATTTTCTACTTGAGCGCTGCCACATTCAACCTATGAAATGACTGGCCCATTAGCTTGATTTCTCTAGCATGAAATATTTTAGGAATCATATTGCAGAGCTAGATAAAAGCATCTAAAACATCTATACTTTCTGACATTCTAATATGGTCAGGACTCTACTTAGTAAAGAGATTTTCACCATCTACACTGCTTCCTGGTGATTTTCAGAATTACAGTTGTGCCTAAACATATACTTTCATAAAGCAAAATTGAGTCTGAACAGCGAGGTCCATGCAGAGCATCATTTGCTAGCCATCCCAATAATTAGATGCATTTTAACAATATTAAAGGAAAAATAATAACTAAAATGATCGACACAAAAAACCAGCTCGCCATTTAAAATTCCTGTTAGGAATGAGTTTTAAATTGTCAGAAAATAGAACATGAAGAACAGCAGCCCACTCCTGATTTTAGTTTGGTTTGCCCAAAAGGAACAGAATTAGATGTAGCAACTGTGCACTGGAGAAGCTTTTTGAAAGGTCAGACCTTTACCTTTCAAAGCCCTGATGATTTTTAAATTTTAATTTCAACCAAAAATGAGCTAAGCTCTTGGAATGCATGACCAAGCAAAATTTCTGCCTCTGCTTTTATATTCATGCTGGGCACGGAAGTCGGAGTGCCAAAGCAGAATTTAATAAAGGATGTTCTTGTGATATATCCAGTGAAGACCAAGCAGACTGTTGCACAGGGACTGTGGCAGGGAAAAGTAAAACGGGGAGGGAGAAGTGCTCTTCTCATGAGAATGTTTCCGTTCAGTGTTTGACTGCATTCTGTCTGGACTGAACTCGGAAGTGTAAACAGTGATGGCTCTTGTGGTCCTGACTATTTTAAAACTAGAAAACAACACACAGTTCTCAACCTCTATTCACATAAGAGAAGCAAACAAAGAGAAGTACGTTTTGAAGCTAGCAAACTGCAGTATCAGTCTACAGACTACATACGCCTGAAACTGTTAAGCAAGTTAACAGTATTGGTGATAATTATACTGCTGATAATTGCTGAGAATATTTCTGAAGTTTGCCATGATACTTTTTTGCCAAGTCATAGCAGAATAAGATCAATCTGAAACATGTATAATCTTGAAGTTTGCCAAAGGCATGGCAACCTTAGTGACATTTTTTGGTAAAAGCTAATCATTATCAAATTTTGAAAAGATGGTATATCTACAATTGAAACAACTAACATGTAAAAGCAGAGATATAAGATTATACTAGATACACTTATTTAGTTGAACATAATATGCTATTTGGCCACACGTTTTCAGCTTTTATATTTGACAGCCTAGCAGATAAACTTTTGTCCTGTTGCCCTCTCTTACATAAAGTGTTCAGTGACATTTTACAGGATCTTGCTTCAAAAACATGTCATTTTGCAACAAAAATACCTTTGATCAAGCCTTCAGTACAGCCTACTAGCTTTAAAAGGCACTCGAAGCCTTTCATAAAAAGGTTCATGTTTTCTAGGGAGAAGATGTTAAAGAAGTTTATTCAGAAATGAGAAACAAAAGTGTGCATCCTCTTAATATCAAAACGTACTGTTAATCCTTTTATAATTTAATAGGCCAATAAGCTTACCAAAGCTGCTTAAAATAAGAATGTAGACACAGATTCTGAACCGTGATAAAGCTCAGTGACAGCACTGAAGTGATGCAGCTGAAGGCTTATGCCATCTTTTCAAAGGTAAGAGATGACTAGAAAAGGAAGAAGAGATTCTCAAGAAGGGAGGAGGACTAATGGAATAGGAAAAAGAATAGGTGCTAAATTCTACTAAGATCCTTCTCAGACCTGAATCAATAATTAAGCAAATTTACATGACGAGTTTATAGCAGAGGCATAGGTGAACCTTGCCATAGGTGGCACAGGCTTACCTAGAGGCATAGGTGTACCTTGTCCTTTGGCTATTGGTAATAACAGCATCCAGACAGAGGTAGCTCATATTTATACACTGGGCTCCTGAAAAAGTTGTATGTGTGCACGCGCGTGTGTGTGTGTGCGTGCGTGTGTGTGTGTGTGTGTGTGTGCGCGTGCGCATGCACCCAAACATTTGTATTAATTTACGGTGATGGTTACCGTCAGGGAAATTACATGTCACAACCATCACAACTTTTTTTATTATTCTTCTGAAAAACACCAAGAAAAATACTATCAGTGGCATGCTATGGTGAAACATGACTAGTGAGGCTAACCATACATTTTAATAGTGTCATACTCTGGCAAGACAAACAAGGAAGTTAGAAACGTTCAGAAAACTAGCAACATTACACGCTTTCACTTTTTCAGACCAAAGCATTTCAACTTTTTTACATCACCACTTGCCCCTCTTTTCTTAAAAATAAAAAATCAAGTCACAATTGAAGTAGAGCAAAATTTAAATTAGAATGTTACCTTGTGAGAGATTGCAAAATTTGATTTTCCTCTACTGGCTAATGATTGATTTCACAATCATTCCCAAAATATCCTGGATATTTATAATCAGAATTAGATAGAGCTCTCCAAGTCTGGATGCCATCTGAGATCTAATCACAGATGCTTAATATACTTTAATATGTAATATCTACTAGGCTTTATCGGGATATAGAATTTATCTCCTCAACAAGGTGATTGCTAAGGGAGAAAAGTTAGGACTTAAACGTACAAATGATCATCTTCTCACAAGTGTTTTCCTATTGAGATGCCTTAGGGGTTTCATTTACGTACAATTCCTTCAGTTTCATTAGATTTTTTTTTTTTTGAAAAGTAAATAAGTTGGAGGGAAAAGGAAGAAGGAAAGAGAGGTTGTGAAATTAAATGATGTTGTGATTTCTCCCCATAGGTATTCCTTAAGAAAATAAAGAACCAATAAAATGCAGAAAGCCTTTCAAAAGCAAATGATCAGTTTATTCCGCACACAATAAATTCAAAATAGAGTTCTGGGAAAAATGATCCCTAAGTTAAATGCTAACGGGAGGCAGCTAGTCTCCCTAGATTTCCTGAGGAAAGAAGTAAGGACTCTCAGAGGTCAGTTCAGGGCAGAAGCCCAGCCCGGATGCCTAATAACTTCATAACGAGCACTAGTCAAGCAGAAATGCCCTAAGAACCTACAGTACCAGATGGAATTTTTTTCTTTAGTGTCTATCTTCTGAATCATTCTCACACAATGATGGATAATTCAGAGTAAATAGTGTCTTCTCAGTGATTCAGAACCACCTAGTCGGGCACATTTTTTAGCACATGGAACAGTTGTCTTACTCTGTAATTCTTGTTTATTTGTCTTTCCTTAATGTTTGTTGAACACTGCCATTTCCTTTCTTGAGCCAGGCAGTAAGACCTTCTGAGCAAGAGCCATGTACTTTTGTGATTTTTTTTTTTTTGTACAGCACAATGGTATCACACTCTTTTCTGAAGTTTTCTCGTGCTATACAAATAAAAATTAGTATATGATGACATGTATACAGTGCAGTCTTGCTTGTTTAGAAATACATCAACATGCTGATCCAGGCTTTCAAATCAACGTACTGCTTATAGAGCCTTTCAAGGAAGCATTAATATTGGGTGTTAAACTGCAATGCTGCAGAGGTCACAGAATCATTCACACTAGGAATAGTAGTTCCAGAGAGAAATACAATGCTGATACAAATCGGCAGCAAATACTGTTATAGTAAAACATAGTTGATCCTTTAAATATCTCATAACGTTCCATATACAAAACTACTTTTGGGCACTTAAAACTTTGCTAGTAAGAGGCGTTAGTGACTCAAAAAAACCCCCAAGGCAAATAGAGCATTTCTGAGCTGGCCTTGCTGCATGCTTATTGAAGATAGGCTTTGTCTTTAAGTTACGTAATTTTTAAAAGATCACAGTATGTTGTTACCAATTGCAACTGCTTAAAGAGAATTTCACATTTTTTTAATATTTAGTCTTTTACAAGTCTTCATTCTCTTATATTTGGCCTTATTTGAGGTATTCAGAAAGTTATTATTTTTGCTCTAATAGGAATGTTAGTATGAGATATTCTGTTGATTAGATCTACTTAGATTTTTCAAAGGCTTTCAAAAAGGTCTCTGAGTAAGAGCTCGTAAGAAAACTACACAGTTCTAAGATAAGAGGGAAGGTCCTTGCTCAGGTGATTGCTTACAAAAGAGGAAATAGGGGTCTCTTCCGTAAATGATCTGTTCCTACACTGAAGGGCAGTCCACAGAGCCTTGCGATGGGCCTCTTGCTGGTCAGCATAATTATACCTGTCTTGTAAAAGGGTACGAAGAATTACGTGACCGGGTCTACTTATGATACAGAGTTATTCCAGGTAGAAAAAAGAAGGGCTGACAGTGAAGACCTAATACCCAGTAGCCAGGCCATACAAAGAGAGATGAAATTCAGTATACATACATGTGAAGTCTTCCCTTTACATACATGATGGTGATGATTTCTGAGCTGTCACCATTAATAGTGGCATTATGACAGGTGTTTCTGTTCATTCAGGGCTTACTAGTGCTTAAAAAGTAAATCCACTGTTGGGAATTACTAGGAAAGTTGTAACTAGAGAACAAAGCAGAGATCATCATATACTATAAGGCATAAGCTATGGTAAGAAATTATAAAACACTGCATATCTGCATCTTGATTCTTGATTCCCGCATCTCAAGGCAAATAGAGAGGAGCTGGAGAAAGTTCAGAGAAGGACAAGCAGAACGATTAAAGGTCTACTATGTCTCTATAATGGTCTGTCCAATTAAGTAGGACTCTTCGGTTTGAACAAGAGACAGGTAAGGGCAGATGCACTGCAGATTTATGAATGGCACAGTGATAATAAATAGGGATCAACTGCTTTCTGTCTCTTCCAGCACAGGAACTAGTAAATATCACATGAAGACGGTATGGAAAGATTTAAAATAAACAGAAGGAGGTGGTCTCTCGGAGGCATACAATTAATCTGCAAATTCCCTGCTGTAAGACGCAGCAGGTATCAGAAGTTTATTCAAAGGTAAGCTACATAGGTTCATGTGAGAGGATTACTGAAGCATTATTAAAAACACAGAAACCACATTTGGATCAGGATCAGGAAGTGATCTGCAAATGATCTGAGACCATGGAAATACTCTGAGAAAGTAGCATAAATGCTTGCCCTGCATCTTACACTGCTCTCTAGGCTTGAACTCTTGGCCACTGTCAGAGGCATGATAACTTGGGTCAACCTTTGGTCTGACACAGTATAGCATTTTTATATTCTCAAATCAAAAATGTAAATTTGCCACTCTGCATTTATGTACAGTCATTTTAACGATTTGATGAGAAAACTATTATTACTAATAATGTCTTCCTTAAGAAAGATATGAGCTCACAATTAAAACCAACAAACCATTTAATAACATTTAGCTAGCATCAAGTGCTAGCTAAAAGCTCAGCCTCAGCTAAACAGCAAAGGAACTTGGTAAAGTTGTCAAACCATGGACAGGAATGAAGTGTACCAATGACAGAAGCAGTGGTTGGCATGTTTTATTTCATCTCCGTTCTGATCCTCACTATCCTTACAGCTGTGAAAACCTGTTCAGCATCTTTTGATGAGCCTACACAAACAGGTTCACCCTCACCATGACTTTCTATACAAACTCTTACGAGCTACCAACACGCAAAAAGCGAGGACCACGGCCATACTAATCTGCCATTGTCCTGAGGTGTATCTGAAACCTTGCCACCACACGGCAACGTTGATAAGAGATGTTGTATTTTCTTCATTCATTTTCACTGTTCAGGAAAGTGGCTTTACAAAATCTATGTTACGTGACAAGATTAAGGTTTTCCCATCTTCACTGAAGATGTGAAGCTGATTTTTTTTTTCATAGCAACAAGAAAGATACCTTGCATAAATTCCCAAGTCTACTTCCTTCAGTCTAATACAAATAAAAAGCTCAGTCAAATGTAATATATGAAAATGTAATCAAAAAGAATTATAATATTGCCATATTGCCTGAATCAAACTTCTTACAGATGTGGCATTAACAGAAATAAAACCATTCATTTCACTCACTGGGAGAAAGATAACTGAGTTACCTGACCAGGCTTTGCATTCTCACAGACAACTATCTCATACTCTCGGGCGAGCTCTGGAGGGTTGTCATTGACATCCAGGATTCTAATGCCAACTGGAACATGGCTCACTAGCCCAGGGTTGTCTGTAAAATACACAAGGGGGTATTAAGCCTTTTGAAATATTCAATATTCAAGGACATTCTCAATCTAAGCACATTTTCTTAACACAGGAATTGGATGAGAACGAAATACAACTGCAGAACTTCAGGTAGCGAGAACTTCACCAAGATGCTGTTTGCTGAGCTTCATTAACTGTTTTGAAAAAAAATGAGTAGGAAAGCATAATATGTTTCTGAAGTCACTATTATGTCAACAAAATACAAGTTACTCCAGAACTGAAGTGGAAGAAAGTTGATGGAGTTCCTTACATACTGTCACACTCTATGCCAAGATATGATCAAATGCTTTGCAATAAATGTGAAAGTGTCATCACAGTGTTAATAAAATCTAACAGTAAATACCTTGTTTTCCCCAGTCCCTCAAAGATTTTAGGAAATAAAACAATAAGAAAATATAAATGCAGAGGCACATATAAACAATTTTTCCAAGCTTGACTCCAGATTCTTCACAAGTTATCATTTACTACTCAGAGTAGTTAATGAGAGACTTGCTTTGGCTGTAAAAATTCAGCATCAGTAACATAACAGTAAGGTGATAATGTTTATCTAATGGTGTCTAAGGTTATAATCTGTACTTGTGTGATTATCAAAAAAGAGCTCCCTCTCAAAAAAGCACAATAAACAGAGATTAACATTCTCTCTTTCAATGAGAATACATTTTATGTTTTAAAATGGGAAAAAAAAATGAAGTCTGCCTAATTTACAGTCCTCTCATTCTTACTACTATACATACATTTTCATTTTGTCGAGAGAACTATGTATTAAGAACTTTTTATAATGAGCTTTTAAAAAACATCTTCTGGAGTCCATATCAATCCTTGTTTTACACGACAAACTTAATTCTACTTTCGCCAATTAAATCGAACAATGAATACATGACAGCAAAGTCAATTCTTCTAACACAACCAGCTGCAAGAACTGAGTCTTACAGATTGATATATTTAATGCATGTATGTCTGTGTACGTTCATGAGAAGAATAAAAAAGAAGCATTGTGTCCCTTGTTTTCCTGCTTTTTTTCTGTTAACTAATCCACATTGTGTACCTGTCAAAAAAGGGTCATTTGTGAAATGCCTTAGATATTTCATGCCTTTGATGACTTCTGCTCAGAATTCTCAGAAACATTGATTAGATTAGGCATGTAATTGGCTTCAAAGCCACCAGTCAAAGAGCCTCCCACTGAAAGGCTATATGAGAATACTGAAGCTTATTTTAAAATAACTGAGCGATCTAGCCTTCCCTTTTTTAATCTGGGATACTAGTCAAGGATCCTGGTGCTCAGTTCTCCTCAGATATTTCACATTCTCTCTCTGACTAATAATTATGTTCGGCTCATGATTTTTACTCAGTTTTGGAACTCAGTCAATTATCCCTGTAAGTAAAAAATGAGAATGTAACGGAAATCAAAATTGTAAACAGAAAAGGAAGATTTGGTTTAGATTAGATAAGAACCTCTGTTCCCAACCAACATTAGGGTTAATTCAGAGTCATATTCAAATTATATGAACACCTTCAGAAGGCAGTTATGGACTTAAAATTCCATTTTCTTGCTGAAATTTTCCTTGAACGTTGGTATTTTCAGCTTGACCCAGGACTATGAATATCATTACAACACATCAACCAAGGAACTAAAGTAGGCTTTTCCCATGGAGACACTAATCTCCATTTACTTTCATTACTGAAGAGAGAAAAGGAAGCTTCTCTCCAGAAGATCCAGTTTTATATATAGGAAGTTAGGAATATTAACAGGAAAAGGTGTTTGGCCCTGCCCTGGAGGGAGGCCATGATGCTGTGCAGAAGAGTGCAAGTCACAAGAGTGCTTACTGCTCACTGGAGCACAGCTAACAAACTCATTTAGCTAACTTTCTTTGCCAGTGCCATCAGACAATACAATTACAATAATCCTGTAATAACAATTACAGGACCTGATCTCAAGAAATATTTGATAGTTGATCTGGAGATGATCTACAGCTCAAAGGAGTATTATTCTCGAGCTCTTCAGGAGTCTCTTGCACACCGTCTGTGAGGTATGCAAACTACAAAGTGCTATAAATTAAAAGTAAGGCGACAAAACAGACCAAGGGGGAGCATAAGAAAGAACTGTAAGGAGACGAAAGGCGGAGATCACGGTAATGATTAAGGAAGAATAAATCCATTTGGGAGTGGATTCATCAACTTTAGGGAAGAAAACGAAGATTTCTACATTAGAGAAAGCCAGAAGAAACTGTTTGCAAGAAATGTTGCGATTATCAGATAGTCATAAGATCACTAAAAAATGTTGGTTGGAATGGACCTCTGGAGGTCACTAGTCTAGTCCGTAGCTCAAAGTAGGGTCAACTTCAAAGCTAGAAGGGGGTAGAATACATCTAAGAGGAAAGGAGTAAGAAAGCAGGAAGAGCACAGGGTAGAGGCTATCACAGAGAATGAACTGTTCTCTAGGTCTGGCGTATTTGCAACAGTTACTGGTGGAAAAAAAATCAAACCCTTTAATCCAACAGCTGGCAAGAGCAGGCAACTTCCTTTCTTTCAGTATAGTATGTCAGATCCCTTTGCCTCACCTTGAAAAGTGTCCTCTTGTAGGCTTGTCACTACTATGCAGTGGCATCTGTTTAACCCACGCTAAACCCATTATTTTCACGTGCTGATTCAGATAATTTACCTGTGTTTCCTTTGTAGCTGTTTTGCAGTACAAAGAACTCACATTTACCTTACCCTACCTTACCAGTTCAAAAAAGTTCTTAATGCACAAGATATTTTTAATAACTTTTCGGAAGCAGTTACCTCATGGGATCTTTGACCTTTCCAGGCATATTTCCATATTGGCAGCCTACTCAGTACAAAATGTTAACAGGGAAAGTATTAACGCCATTTACCATAGCAGTCTTGAAGCTTTTCAAATTGTGTACACCAGATCAATGTGTATGCAAGGTGACAGCACAGCTTACAAACGGGGAAGAGAATGAGAACGAACTATGACAGACCTCTTACAAGCATATTTGTTTTCAGGTTTTGTTTTGTTTGGTTTTATAAAATAAATCTGAACACCAGCCTTCTGGAGGTGCACAATTCACCTGCATCCTTCAAATCCTTCTACTAAGTGGTCCTGTTAGTAGTATATTTTTGTTAATTAGACTAATTTCTCACAGTAGTTTGGCAGACTTCCAGTTTTGAGATAATCAGTGCTGACCTATATTTCAGGCCTGTGCATTATAAAACAGCCAGATCCATTCTGTATCCTATTAGCATTACGCCTCAAGAGTAGATTTTTGAAGTGAATGCTCACTGTTTTAAGAAATAACTGAAGCAGAAATTGTTCTGATTCACCTATGTTAGGGGCTTGCTTTCTTACGCTTGAAGACTTTTCTCAGAATAAATAGTTCTTCTGCCAGAACACTAAATATTTGTAAAGCAAATCAATTTCATCGAGCATTAGTCTCTCAGTCAGCAAGTCCTTTGTGAACTTACATAAATCCTTATCAACAGCCAATTTGCAATCTTGAATCCTCTCTTCATTTAATTTGTGTGGGCAAACTTTAAAACCCTATTTGAGACAAAAGCTTCCTTTTAATACGACTTCTGCAATCAGAGACTTCCTTTTCATACTGACAAAATTCTCATGCACTTCAATGAAAATAAGACCCAACTTGTGTGACATCCAGAGTAACTGCTCTGACATTAATAGCTTTTTGTTTTGTGTTTTCTTTAAGTGAGACTAGTATAGTGAAACTGAGTGATTATGAAAACTGAATAATTTAACCCACAGTAAGTCTAAACAAGCAGACTATTTTAAATAGGGTGAAGGATTTTTGCAATTGAATGATTTTAGACATGTATTCAGGATCCATCTAAAACAAAAATCTTCACACAGTTTAGGATAGAGAACTAACGTCTATGATTTTCACCATTACTATTAATTATTGATCTTAATCACTGCAATAGCCACAGTCTGTTTTGCTTGTGACACCTTTTGAAGATCCCACAAGGCAAGCCATTGTTTAAGACATTCAACCAACTATCCTTCCCGGTATTCTTTACAGAGAGGTAGAAAGCGTTCATCTTACTCACCTAATAAGCTTATGTGATTATTTCTGACGCATTACAAGACTAAATACAGATATAGCAAGGATAAAATATACTACAGAAACATAACTAAATAACAGAAGAATGCTTTATATTTAAGTGAGAATGGTAATATTCAGAAATTACTGGAATTCATTCAGATTGGTTTATATGTGGTAAACTAAGTTTGCTGGTAATAAACTATTTGCAGGTAATGAGAAAATGATGCAGAACCTAATAACAAGTTAAGAATCTATTCTGCTTTTTTAAGGTAGTGGGTTCTTCTAAAATTTTATCATTTGAAGCTGGCTAGAAAATATTTTTATTCCTTTGCACAGGAAAAATTTGTAAAAATTTGACTTTTCATTGATGAACACAAACCTGAAGGCACTGACACTTACTTCTCTTGGATCATACTAGTGGCAGAAGTAGGAATAGCAGCAACAGGAGCAATAGTAGTAATAATAGCATTGCAGTAGAGTTAAAACATTTAGCACTTTCACACTGGCAACTCTCTCTCTCTTAATGCAAGCAAAATCATACAGCTCACAGACAAGGCTGGTGCTCACCTCCTGAGCAGAGCAGGGCACCACAAACTGTGCTGGTTCTGTGGCCAGTAACGTGTCCATTGCAGATGCCTGTACTGATTCACAAAGCCCTGAATGGGGAAACGTCACAAGATCCCAAAGACTGTCTCTTCTTCAGGGACCCACCTTGGTAGCTACCCTCATCAGGAACATTGCATTTATCAGAGCCCAGAGGAGCAGGTGAATGAGCTTTGTGAAATGCAGGCCCAACTGGAACACCAAGAGAGGTCAGGAAGAGCCATACCCTATGCTATCTTCAGAGGACAATGCAGGAATATCTTCATCATGCCTTTCCCCAAACAAACAGAGGAGAAGAAAA